TAACAATGTTGGCGAGAAAATACCTAAAAGTGAATATATTGTAAAAAAGTATGTAACGTAACGTAACGTAAAGTGACGTAATGTAAGGTAACACGACGTAATATAACGTGACATGACGCAAGGTGAGACAAAGTCACTTCATGTAACGTAGCGCAAGTTAACATTACGTATTGCAACGTAACTGGGTGACATAACGTAACATAACGCAACGTGTCGTAACGTAACGCAAAGTTACCAAGCATTCATAATTCTGTAAAAACCAGTATATAAAATAAATACATATTTAAATAACGAAACCATATTGGAAAAATGTAAGCTAAAACACGAACTAAGCTAAAGGCTCGCCACAATCTTCTGGTGGTGGTCCCAGTGTCGGGAATGTGCGCAAGCGTTGTAACTCCAAAATCGTTTTTAGCTCGAGTATATGCGCATAATCCTGGCGTACCTCGTTGATGAGGAAACTGTAACGTTTTACCTTGTCCATGCTAAAAAAAAAGTCGAAGGAAAAAAATATTTAAATAAATTGAGTTTTCGACATATTGCACCATTGGGTTTACCTTTCATTGCGCTCTCGATGCAATTTTTCCTCCAATAGTGTATCCCGATTCGCCGTGAATATTGCCACATCCACTTTAACTTCATCGATTGCACGATTAATAGTCTGATTTCTACGTTTTACCTCCACAATTTCATCTTTACATGCGGTAATTTTTTCATTGCTGTGGGGAAGAGGAAATTGTAAGCATGATGTTATATAGAGGGGGAAGGCTGGACTGCCTAGTTGTTCAACACTATTTAGAGTTCCTTGAGTCTGTATTACAAGGACCTTTAAATGAAACAATCATATCAGGCGGAGATCTTTGCCATAGAGAAGTCGACTCGTCTCATACAGGATAGTACGGGGGAACGTCACTTTATTTCTTAATAACCAGGCGGCATTGAAAATATTAGGCTCTAAGGTAGTAAAGTCGAAAATAGCTCGAAAATGTCGTGCATCGCTGGCTGCACTGAGCCACGTTAAAACCTTTACCTGCTGCGTTCCTGAATATAGCAATATCGAAAGGAACGAAATAGCCGATGAGCAATGCTTCTTCGATGGCATATAATAAAAAACTCCCTCTG